GCATGTCCTTTCAGAGTTTCTTTATGTACATAACAAATAAAAATATACATTCTTTTTTAAAAATTATTTTTAGATGTTGGTGGACCTTTATTTTGTTCATTTATTTATATGTGGTGCTGAGAATCGAACCCAGTGCTAGGCAAGTGCTTTCCCCCAGCCCCCAAAATATACATTCTTATTGTAAAATTCCTCATTTTGTATAAAGCATAGTGTTTTATATGTGGTCCTAGATTTCCGTCCTGATCTCCTGTCACTATTCTGCCCTCCTTAGGGACAGCCACTTACAGTTTTCCCTGTCATGTCCTTCCAGACAGATTCTCTGCATGTAAAAGCATATACATTTTTTTCTTGTTTATTTCTATGTAAAAGTGCAAGTACATTAAACTTTGCTCTCCCTTGTATTTTTCTCAAAAATAATGTCTTGGTGATTGTTGAGCTGCCTCATTCTTTTTTTTTTTTTTTAACAGTAAGTGGGACTCAGTTATCCTAATTGCTTTTAAATTCTTCCCCTGATTCTACCTACTTTTCAAACTATTGCCAAAGTTATCTTTCTAAACCAGAACCTGGTCCTGTCACTCCAGTGGGTGTAAGCCTTCCGTGGCTGGCTGTCATCTGTGGGTCAAGTTCACACTTCAGAGGCTCTGTGCTCTGGTCCAGTTCTCCACGTCCCTCCATTTACATATCTCTGTCCCTTTTCCAGCTTGTTTTGCACCTCCTGTTTCACCTAGGTTGTGATCCAGCCACTCACCATTATTCAGAAGGCATGCATCTTTGTACGCTCTCGCTGGTTCTCTTTCTCTATTTGGAATTCCCATCCGAATTTAACTAGCAGTCTCCTGAGATCACACCCAGCTTTTAGGGTTTGGCTTTCAGTGTCCCTTTTGCTCTGTGTCCCTTCCAGGAAGAGTTGGTACTCCTTTGTCTCACCCCGTGTCCCCTGTCATGGCACTGAACTTGGCTACACATCTGTCTTCGATTAGAGTTGATGTGATACAACAGAGTCACTTGTGAAACTTTTTTAAAAAACTACATGCCCAAGCCTTGCCACCAGAAATGCTTTCCGTAGGTCTGGGTCCGAGTCCTACAGCATTTCTGACTCATTGCCTGATGTAGAAGCCAGGTATAGATGGAGTCCTACTGTAGGGGGACGGCTCTTTCTCATCTCTCTCTAGTGCCTAGAATCTGCTCGGTGTGGGGAAAAAAAGGGTTAATTCAAGAACATGCCTAGGTTAGAAAGGAAGATAAGGCTCAGATTGAAGCAAGTATTGATCAACCAAAGGATGAAACTTTGATTCTGAAACCGATTAGCGGTAGGTTAAATTTGGTTGCTTAGGAGAGTGGTGGTACAAGATGGTGTCACAGTGGTGGTGGTGGTGTTGTTGTTTGATTTGGTACTGAGTGTTTAACCCAGGGATGCTTTACCACGGAGCTACATCCCCAGCCCTTTTTATTTTTATTTTTTTTATTTTGAGAAAAAGTCTTGCTAAGTTGCCGTGGCTGGCCTAGAACTTGCTATCCTGCTATCTCAACCTAGAGGGTCCCTGGGATTACAGGCATGCACTATTACGCCCAGCCACATTGATGTTACGTTTAAACCATCAGAAAAATACAGCCAAAGGCCAAAGTGTAAAGAAGAATAAGAAGGCAAGGAGAGCAGTAGGATGGCTTTGGCAACAGTGTAGGCGTGTCCAGCGGCCCTGCTCTAGGGAGTGGGACCAGAAAGGAAGTGATAACACTGTCCTGCTAAAGGGAGTATCTTGAGTGCTGGCAGCTGGAGGAGGCAGGAAGGAGGAGGGGTCAGCCCCTGTGCCTGTGGATAGGGCTTTAACTGGCACAGATCAGCTTTGGGACTCGGCAGAACCAGAGCTTTCGGGTGAGTGAGGGAATAACTTGGGCTGCTCTGTGTCCTGGCTGTGGCTCTGGAATTGAGATGGAGTGGGGTGGTGATGACGGGAGGCCTTCGTGCGTACCAGCTAGGTCGTTCCTGGTCTTTCTGGACTGTCTGGGAAGATGAAGAACAGGGGTGGCCTTTCTGTCCTGAGCTCCTGCTCAAGGCTTCCCTCACCCACCAGATTTCCCAGGAGCTCCTTAGCTGACTGCTGTCCTCCCGACCAGCCATGCCCAGGAGACACAGATCCGCCAGGACTGCGACCTGCTGTGACTTCATCCTTATTCTGTTTGCTCAAATGATAAACTAGACTATAGAAAAAGGATGCTTCCAGAAGCCAGGCGCAGTGGCAAGCTCCTGTAACGCCAGCACCTTGGGAGCGTGAGGCAGGGGACTGTGAGTTCAAGGACAGCCTGGGCAATTTAGTAAATAATGAGAAATAAACACAGGAAATAGAATAAAAGGGTGTATATTTCTCTCTCACAGTATTAGGCTTGTCATGATTTCTTAGCCCACTGCCCTTTTCGTGGAATCGGTTTCTTCATTCATGGGGCTGTCAATCAGACCCCAGGGTCACTTTTTATAGTGTGCATTGTTTTGCACACCCAAAGACTGAACCCATGATTGGAAGGAGAGTGGGCATTTTAAAGTGGTCAGGACCCACATGGACCCTTCAGCTGTGGTCCTTTACTGCCACCCCTTACGCCTGCTCCTCCTCACATGTCCCAGTCTCCGTGTGCTCGTGTCCAGGACGAGGTAGAGCAGGCTGCTTACTCTCAACTCTGCCCTCAACAGTAGGCCTCCCATGGAGTTCTGGATTTTCAGAACCAGAATCAGGGAACCACTAGTTCTTGATTTCCTCAGGAGATCACAGAAGACTGGCCTCTCCAGGCTAGGAAGGAAATGAGAGCAAGGTTTCACAGCCCACCTTTTGGAAGATCCTGGCTGGCGTCCTCATTTTTTTTGTGCAGCCTAAATATTAGAGTTTTATAGCTTTCAAAATCACAGCAATAGGGGCTGGGGTTGTAGCTCAGTAGTAGAGCACTTGCCTAGCATGTGTAAGACACTGGGTTCGATCCTCTGTACCACATAAAAATAAATAAAGGCATTGTGTCCATATGCAACTAAAAAAATTTTTTTTTTAAACACAGCAACACATGAAAGAGATGTGTTCCCAAGAGGTGTGCTCTGGAGGGTGTGAGAGGCAGAACCCTCTGGCCCTGCTGGGGTGGCTTCCAGGTGCTGCTCTCACCGCCCGACCTGAGCCAGGCACAAGTCCAGAACCTTCCCACATCCTGGGGCACCCCCCCCCGTGCTGTGAATCAGCATTTCCCTTCCCACCTCCTCTCTGGGATGTATGGGAAGGCTTTGTGCCCCACGGCCCTATCCTTGGAAGAGTGATTCACTCCACTCAGGACTGAGTTCAAGCTGAGTCAGTGGGTGGGAATCTGCAGATCAGGAAGGACCTAAGAATTGGCCTGACTTCTCTGCATAGCCTGTCCCACCTTTGCCTGCTCCTCCTGGGCCCAGGGATGGGGCTGCATCTGCCTTGGCCCGAGCAGTTGTGGCCAGCTCTCTGGTGTGGTATGTGTATGTGTGTGTACCAAGCATTTGTAAGACACCAGAGACCTTCACATGGACATCTGACTTTACGGGTTGTATATTACTATTTATACATTTATATAAACTTTGTGTATTGTTTAAATTTTTCATTTTATGGAACAAACTTTTAAAGTTTTAACATTTTAAGTCTTTTTGTTGTTGTTGACTATCTGAAACAATGATAACTTACAAAAAATACAAGTGCTCAGAATCTTCTGGTTTCCTAGCCTTCCTCTTAAAATTGCCCTTTGACCTGTACTGATTCATCTGAAAAGAAAAGAGAAGTGGGCTGAGGATTTTTTTTTTTTTTTATCTGTTTTTAAGAGATGTCTGTAGGATTTCTCTAAAAAGGTTTTCACTGTAATTTTTGACATCTCAAATGATAAGGTCTCCATAAAGATGTTCAATACTGATTGGATTTCCTCCACAAATGATCATATGTCTGTTAAATATTAATCATCAGGGGGCTTATTCCAGATAGTCTTCTTTTGTCTTCTAGAATGTTTTGTTGAACTCAAATGTTCGGGGACTGAGTTGAATTTCCTGTTTAAAGGGTGATAGTATGAAACCAAGGAGCTTCAGGGGATCCTTGGAGGTCTCTGTTCCTGGAATTAATGTAGACATGGACTTCCTGGTAATAATAACTTAGGATACTTAACTTTTTATGTAAGGTTGCATTAGCCCAGGCTTCCCAGGAGCCTTTGATCTTGCAGATGCAGGCAGCCATCAGCTGGTAACTTTTTTTTTTTTTTTTTTTGCGGGAGGGGGGGGGGGGGTACCTGGGATTGAACTCAGAGCCACATCCCCAGCCCTATTTTGTATTTTATTTAGAGACAGGGTCTCACTGAGTTGCTTAGCACCATTGCTGAGGCTGGCTTTGAACTCACGATCCTCCTGCCTCAGCCTCCTGAGCTGCTGGGATTACAGGTGCACCACCATGCCTGGAGAGTTGGTAACATCTTAGCTTGCTTCAGCTCAGCTTAACCCTGAACTCCAATGAGCTGGAGAAGGAGCCCATTTTGTGGTGCCTAAGGCAACAAAAGCAGGGCAGTGCTGAGTGCTGAATGTGAAGAGTATGAACACCATAGTCATTTTTAGTACATCCATCTTTGAGGTTTTTTTTAATATGGTTCTAGGGATTAAACCCAGGGACTCTTTGCCACTGAGCTCCATTCCCAGCCCTTTCTGTTCTTTATTTTGAGACAGGGTCTCACAGACGTTGCTGAGGATAGCTTTGAACTTACAATCTTGTCTCAGCCTCCCAAGTCACCGGGGTTAATTACAGACATATGCCACCATACCTAGTGTCTTAAAAATCATTCTCACATCTTCAGAATGGGCCATGATAAAAAGGAGAAATAGAAACCAGCATCCCCACTCCAGTGGGCTTGGGGCCCCCTGATTTCCTTTACCCTCATGGTTGAATGTGTGAATGCAGGTGAATCTGACACATGCCAACATTTCATTTTTGAGGGATAAGGCATTTTACTCTCTAGGCTCACTAACCGTGTCACTCTGATTTCTCTAGAAGTAACCCTCTGCCTCGGAATGGGATACTGGCTCCTTCCCCACTTCCTGTGATCAAGCCGGGAACTGGGCTTCTGTGGGGATGCCTGTAAACCATCAGAAATCAGACTTCTCGGAGATGGACTCCGACATGTCACCCAGCTGCAGGCTCAGTGACTTGAGCAGAGGTGGGAGTCTGGAGAGTCGAAGCAGCAGTTCGCGGTCCAGAAGTTTCACTTTGGTGAGTGGGCTTTTCTTCAGTGCTTTTATGTGCTTTGGTTGGTTAATTCTGCCTCAGCCCTTTTCCCCTTTAGAATATCTTAGAAAATTCTTGGGGTTAACATGCTTGATGTTTTGGAATAGTTCTTTGTGAAATGGCCTTTTATTTTGAATCATCTTAAGTTTTGCACAAATATAGAACATTACCCAAGAAAGTGGAGCAAATTTCCATCCATAGCCGATAACTTAGAACAACTGGGCACTAGAAAGAAACGTAAAGGCAATAGGAACCCAGGCTGGAACACCCCTGCTTTTGACATCAGATGGCGGAAAGAAGAGAAGCAACTCACAGGATAAAAACAGTTCACTTAGCAGGGTATAGAGGCACAAGCCTGTAATCCCAGCTGTTTGGGAGGCTGAGGCAGGAGGATCGCAAGTGAAGGTCAGCCTGGGAATCTTAGCAAGACCCTGTTTCAATATTAAAAAGGGGCTGGGGGTATAGCTCAGTGGTAGTGCACCCCTGGGTTCCATCTCCAGCACCAACAAAGCAGAAAACAATCAACAACAAAAAAAGATCTGAATAACACTGGGTTTTAACCTTTTCGGTATTTCTTAATATAGGGGCAAGACAGACGTGTCAGGCTAGCATAGATAGAAAGACACAGCTTATGTAGCATCTTAGAGCACCTGTAATGCCACACACGTGAGGTATTTCCATCTTAATCAAGATTCCTTCATAAGAGATACAGATCAAGAGGCAGATGAGAAGCCAGGCACAGTGGCACACACCTGTAAACCCAGCAGCTTGGGAAGCTGAGGCAGGAGGATCACGAGTAAAGTCAGGCTCAGCAAAAGCGAGACCCTAAGCAACTCATAAAACCCTGTTTCTAAATAAGTACTCAAAAGGGCTGGGAATGTGGCCCAGTGGTTAAGTGCCCCCAAAGGAAGAAAAAAAAAAAACAGATGAGGAATGGAGATTTGTGTTTGCATTACCAGTTTAAAGATGTTAAAGGGAGCTTAAATGTAGTCCTTTGAACCCTTCTACAGTAGTTTTGTAATCAACACCGTACCCATCTCATTCCTTGCTGGTTTGTTATGTCTCTTTTCTATCAGAAGTATAGGTTCAAGTTAACCATAGTGAAAAGTTACAATAGTGTCTAGTTTCAAATAACCATAATTAAGCCCTCATTCTGAAACTCCGAGGAAAGCCATGTGCACTTATGGTCTTTCTTTTGAGGTTGCCACAGTAAGCAGAGGCATTTAAAACTCATAAGCGGCTTGGTTGTGTTTCTTTCTTCTTGTCTTTATTCCATTACAGTTTTGGGGGTTCTCTTGTCAACTACATTATTAACTCAGTACAGTATTGCTCAAATGTCAGAGAGAATTTTTGTATCTATGAGGAGAATGTTTGAAGCAAGGTGCAATGGCGCACACCTATAATCCCAGCGGCTCAGGAGGCTGAGACAGGAGGATTGCAAGTTCAAAGCCAGCCTCAGCAAAAGCAAGGTGCTAAGCAACTCAGTGAGACCTTGTCTCTAAATAAAGTACAGAATAGGGCTGGGGATGTGGCTCAGTGGTTGAGCATCCCTAAGTTCAATCCCCAGTACCAAAAATAAATAAATAAGAGAGAGAGGAAGAGAGATTAATTATTTCTTCAAAACCACAATGTACATATTAAGGAACAATATGTTTCCCACATTCTTGAAGCAGTGTTTCCCTCACAGACCTATGGCCGTCACCTCAGGTCATGGTGGGAAAGAATAGGTGAGGTGTAGTTTTCTCAATAGTTCTTTTAACATTTGGAGATTTTCAGCCTTAAAGGGCTTTCTTTTACTCCCCAGCCCAAATTGGTATGTTACAAATACCATTTGTAGAAAGATTTTAAAAATTTCTTGGGCTGGGGATGTGGCTCAAGCAGTAGCACGCTCGCCTGGCATGCGTGCGGCCCGGGTTTGATCCTCAGCACCACATACCAACAAAGATGTTGTGTCCGCCGAGAACTAAAAAATAAATATTAAAAATTCTCTCTCTCACTCTCTCTCCTCTCTCACTCTCTCTTTAAAAAAAAAAATTCTGCTGTCAGCCACTACCTTCCAAATTAATAGTGACAAACTTATGTTTTTTTCCAACTCACTCAAGAACACTGCCATTTTTGTTTTTCCTTATCCCCTACCTGCTTAGTTCTTTGGGAACTAATTTAGCAGGTACCACTTCCAAAAGCACTGCACCCACATGGGAAGCCACCATGGGTTCCAGCTTTCTGTCCTCCATGTGGGGCCACTGGTCCACTCCTTGTTTTGTTTTGTTTTTCTTATTTGAGTATAATTCATATGCCAAAAAGTTCCCCACTTAAAGTCTACCTTCAGCGGTTTCTAGCAAGTTTCCAGAATTGTGTAACCATCACCACAGTCAATTTTAGAATATTCCCATCCATCCCAATGTCCATACTATCCAAAGAAATCTACAGATTCACTATAGTCCTTATCAAAGTCCCAAATGACATTCTTCACAGAACTAGAAAAACCCCAAAATTCATACTGAACTATTAAAAAACCTGAATAGACAAAGCTATCTTGAAAATAGAAAAAGTAGGAGGCATTACACTGCCTGACTTAAACTACAGAGCTGCAGTAATCAAAACAGCATGGTGTTGGCATTAAAAAAGACAACACAGGGACCAGTGGAACAGAATAGAAAGCCCAGAGGTGAACACACACTTAGAATCAACTGTTTTCAACAAATGTGCTAAAAATACACACTGAAAAAAGGACAGACTTCAATAAATGGTGGTCCAAAAATTGCATTTTTACATGCCGAGGAATGAAACTGGACCCCTATTTCTTGCCAGTTACAAAAATCAAAGACTTAAATGTAACATCTGAAATTATAAAAACTACTGAATCAAAGCAGGGGGAAGTCCTTTAGGACACTAGAATGGACAGGAGTTTTTTTTAAGACAACATCATCCAAAGTAAAGGAAGCAAAAGCAAAACTAGACAAATGAGATTACATCAAACTAAAGATCTTCTGCACAGCAAACGATCAATCAACAGAGTGAAAATATAATTTACAGAATGGTAGAAAATGTTTGCAAATTATATACCTGACAAGGGGTTGAAATCTAGAATACATAAAGAACTCCAAAAACTCAAAAGCAAAAAAATAACTTGACTAAACCGGGGGGTAATAGACTTAAATAGACATTTCTTGAAGAAAAATAGTGGCCAAGAGTTGTATGAAAAAATGCTCAACATCACTAACCATCATGCAGATCAAAACCACAATGAAGTATCACCTTATCCAGGTGAGAATGGTTTTTACCAAAAAGACCCAAGATGACAGTTCTGGTGAGGATGTGGAGAAAAGGGGACCCTTCCACACAGTGAATGGGAACGTCAATTAGTACAGCCATTATGGAAAACTGCATGGGGTTTCCTCAAAAAGTTAAAAATAGAACTAGCATGTGATCCAGTGATCCTCCCCTGGGTGTATATCCAAAGGAAATGAAATCAGTCTGTCAGGGCGACTTCTGCACTCCGTACTTATTGAAGCACTATTCACCAGAGCTAAGAAATGGAAACAACCTGAGTGTCCTTCAGCCTCTAAATGTATGAAGGAATCGGTAGTACAGACACACAATGGATGCCATTCAGCCACAAAGAAGAATGGGCTCCATCATTTCTGTGACCCACAGGGGTGGAACTGCTGGAGATAATTAAGTGAAATAAGCCAGACATGGAAAGACAAAGACCACATCATCTCACTCATCCATCTTATAGAGGCTGACAGTAGGAGGAGGTGCAGAGGCTGGGGACAGTGGAGGAATGGGAGAGGAACGGGGGAAGGGTGATGAGTGGGCACTTAGTTACAGTCAGAGAGGAGCAAGTTCTGGGTGCTGTCGCACAGAAGGGTGGCTGTAGGCAGTGACAATGTATTATACATTTCAGAAAGCTAGAAGAAAGGGTTTGGAAAGCTTTCCCCATAAAGAAAGAAACATTTGAAGAAACAGGTATGTTTGACCTGATTTGTGCATTACAGTAGGTTACATGTATGGAAACATCACATGGCATGCAGAATTTTGTGATTTTGTATATCAATCAAAATTAAAAATAAAGTTGACTACTTCAGTGGGTTTTGCATATTTGCAGAGTTATTTAGTCATCACTATAGTGGATTTTAAAACATTTTTATCTCCCCAAAAGAAATCTCATGTCCTTGAGCAGCCTCCCCCACCCCCATAGCCACCACTAACCTACTCTCTGGCTCAAGGATTTATCTCATGATTCTCATCCTCTTCCCTGGGACCATGCATGTCTTTCTCTGTAGCGTCCTTGTCTGAGGCAGTGTCCAGCATCTACATGTAGCAGGAGGAACAAAGGGAACTCTTCTGGATTTGGGCCAGCGTGCCCTTTCTGTGGCTCTGAAGCACTCCGCTCCCTTACCCTTGGCTGGGGTTTTTCTCTGTTTCTGCCTTTTCCCTGTCCCAGGTGCAAGCAGAGTTCATTGGAAGGGTGGTTTCATGTCTGGGGTATTGAGCAACAGACCGGCCCCACAACATGTTTGGCCTTGCTCAAGGCCACAAATAAGCCTCTGGCCCCTCTCTCCATAAAGACCTCAGATGGAGGATACCAGAATCCTGGTGGCCTAGGGCTGGAGATGCACTCACTGAGCCGGGCTGAGGTGTAAGGAGTCTCATGCAGGAAAAGTGGACAGCACAGTTGAGACTGAACTGCAGAACTCTAGGAGCAAGGGACAAGCCGTGAATAGTGTCAGAGCCCTTTATTGACACTTACCAGTGTATGGTTAGGAAAGGGAATAAGTTAGGGGCTGGCAGAGCAAAAGGCAAGTAGAGATCGAGCCTACTTCTGGTCTTTGCCCCTCCACCAGTGGTCATGTGACCCTCGAAGCCACATAAGCCTCTGGCTGGGTGTGGGAGCTGGCCTGGCCCGGTGGCACACAGGACATAAACAGGTTCATGGAGGGCACCCTCCCCAGCTTCTCCTCCAAATGGAACCTCATGCGGGGACTGCTGGCTTTGAGGTTGGATTAAATGTGGGTTTAGAGTCCACACTCATTTTGTCCCACCATTATGGGGAAAATTGGTGTGTCTCCTAAACGGAGGATCCACTGTAGGCCAGTACCCTTTTATTTATTGTTTTATTTTTGCAGTGCCAGGGCATGAACATTTTATCCCTCAAAAAGAAATCTCATGTCCATGAGCAGCCTCCCCCAAGCACCCCGTTCCTTCCCCCACGCCTGGCCACCACTGACCTGCTCTGTGGCCCTGCACAAGCCAGGCAGGTGCTCTACCACCAAGCTACAACCCAGCCCTGGCCAGCACTCTTTTCATTCTCTCTATAGCCAGAGGAAAATGAGGGTACTTAACCAAAGCACATACCAGCCGCAGCATGGTCATCACGTTCCGATTGCTCGCCTTTGTGGAGAAACTGGTTTTTCACTCTGAAGAAGAGTGAAAAAGTTTTCAGTTTCTTTTCTTGGATTTCAGCATACTGAAATTTCTCAGTGGTGTGTGTTGGAGTGAATCTCCTTTATTTTTGTTCTTTGGGTCAGCCCCTTTGATTTGGAAATTCATGTGCTTCTGCTTAGGGGTGTTTTGATGATTCCTTCTCTGCTTCTCTTTTGGGAGCCCTTAGTATTCAGAGATTGGCCCTCCCAGGCTTGTCCTCTAATTTTTTCTTTTTCTTTCCTTCTTTCCTTTTTTTAATCTCTCTCCTCTTTCTTTAATTTTTATGATTTTCTAATCATCTTTTAAACTTTTATTTAGTTCATTATTTTGCTAACATTTTTAATTTGTAAGCACCTTTGTCCTTCAGTTTTTAAATTTTTATTTATTACATGGTACCAGAGATTGAACTCAGGAGCGCTCTACTACCCAGTCCTTTGTATTTTTTATTTTGAGACAGGGTCTTGCTAAATTGCTGAGGCTGTCCTTGAACTTGAGATCCTCCTGCCTCAGCCTCCTGAGTCCCTGGGTTTACAGGTGGGTGCCACCACACCCAGGTCAGCTTTTTAAAAAATAGCATGGTGGTGTTTATGGATTCAGCGTCATGTTGTTTATGGGCTATTGATAGTGATGACCTTTTTGTAATTTTCATCACTGCATAGTTGCTTTTAGTTTTATCTTTGAAGAAAATGAATGATTTTCTTCAGATATATTCAAGAGTTAGGACTTCAGAAACTGATGAATAATTCTAGGCTGGGACTTGTCCATAGTTGTTTTCACCTGTAACTGCTACCTCGAGGAACCCTTGGGGTCAACTTTTTGAGCTCTTGGACCCTTCAGATTCCCCAGAAAACACTCTTACAGTCTCTGTCTACACTGAATTAGTTTAGCTCCATTTACCCCCACCCCATCTCCAGTAAGCCATCAGCCCTGCTTGATGGCCCCAATTCAAAGGGGCTTTTTTGTTTGTTTTTTTGCCTTCTCTAATAACTGCACCCTGTTTTCTGCTGGGCCATTCTCATTGCTGAGAGGGGATTTCCAGCCAGCTTGGTGCTTTCCAGACCCCTTTGCCACACTTCCAAAAGGTTGGGGCTTCAGTGCCAAGCTCAGGACCACAGAGCTTAGCAGGTTGGTGACTGGCTTTCCTGGTAGCCACTCTGATAGTCTGTCGTCTTTGTTCATCTTAATTCATTTCCCCCATTCATTCATTTCCTTCTGCTCTCTAGCCTCCTTTATTTTGTTTTATTCTCTTTTCCTCTGACTTTTGTCTTTGTGATTTACACTTATTTTAAAAAAGAAATCCTTGTATTGTTTTAGTGGGCTTCTGAAGGGAGAGGAGATATTTTTATGTATATATGAGTCCAGTCTACTCTATTTAATTGTGAGTCCCCTTGCCCCGCACCCTGTGCCCACAGTAATCTGGAAGTACAAGAAAGTGAACAGTGGTCAGTTGAAAACAGCTTTCCCGAGCCAGTGCTGAAGGAGGGTTGCTTTATTGCATCGACCTGGAACCATGAGGCTAGAGCCCACAGGCTAAGACCCTCTATTTTCTTTTCTCTCTTTTTTTAAATTTTTATTTGTCCTTCTTAGATATACATGACAGTAGAGTGTATTTTGACATATTATACATATACGGAGTGTAACTTATTCTAATTAGGATCTCATTCTTGTGGTTGTACAGATGTAGGATTTCATTGGCTGTGTATTCATACATGAACATAGGAAAGTCATGTCCAGTTCATTCCACTGTCCTTCCTAGTCCCAGTCTGCCTCCTTCCCTTTATCCCTCTTTGCCTAATCCACTGAACTTCTATTCTTTCCCCCTGCCTTGTTGAAGGCAGGGGGAAAGAATAGAAGCATCTGTGTATCAGAGAGAACATTCAACCTTTGGTTTTGGGGGATTGGCTTATTTCACTTAGCATGAAAATCTTCAGCTCCATCCACTTACCAGCAAAAGTCATAAAGTAATTCTTCTTTATGGCTGAGTAATATTCCAGTGTGTATATATGCCACATTTTCTTCATCCATTCATTTGTTGAAGGGCACCTAGATTGGTTTCATAGTTTAGCTATTGTGAATTGAGCTACTCTAAACTTAAAATGTGGCTGCATCACTCTAATATGCTGATTTTAAGTCCTTTGGTTGTATACCGAGGAGGGCATAGCTGGGTCGAATGATGGTTCCATTCCAAGTTTTCTAAGGAATCTCTATACTGCTTTCCAGAGTGATTGCACCAATTTGCAGTCCCACCAGCAACGTATGAGTGTGCCTTTTCCCCACATCCTCGCCAACATTTATTGTTGTCAGTATTCTTGATAACTGCCATTCTGACTGAAGTGAGATGAAATCTTAAGAGTAGTTTTGATTTGCATTTCTCTAATTGCTAAATATATTGAACATATATTTGTTGATCAAATATATATCTTCATCTGAGAAGTGCCTGTTAAGTTTCTTACCCCATTTATTGATTAGGTTATTTGTTTATTGTTTTTGTTTTTTGGTGTTAAGTTTTTTTAATTCTTTATATATCCTGGAGATTAGTGCGCCATCTGATGTGTGTGGCAAAAATTTGCTCCCAAAATATAGGCTCTCTCTTCACCTCATTGATTGTGTCTTTTGCTGAGAAGAAGCTTTTTAGTCCATCCCATTTATTAATTCTTGATTTTATTTCTTGCATTTTAGGAGTCTTGTTAAGGAAGTCGGGCCTAATCCAAAGTGATGAAGATTTTGGCCTACTTTTTCCTCTGTTAGTTACAGGGTCTCTGGTCTACTTCCTAGGTCTACTTTGAGCTGAGTTTTGTGCATGGTGAGAGGGGTTTATTATCAGTTTGCTGCATATCGATTTCCAGTTCTCCCAGCACCATTTATTGGAGACCCTCTGTTTTCTACATCTTTTTTACTATTTTTTTTTTCCATGCAGGTTAAGATGGTGAGGAGTGTCCAGGTGCAGTTGGTCAGTGGGTAACACAAGTGGTAATTTCTAACGTGCAATGAATTCCACCCTGGACTATTGACCCCACTTTGTTGCTTTGTCTTTAGTGACACCATTGTTTCTCTCTTCTGTGCCCAACATCTGTCACAGGATGACGAGAGCCTGAAGCACCTCACACACGAGGAGAAGGATGTCATCCTGTTTTTTGAAGAGACTCTCGATTCCCTGGAAGACGACTTTGAGGAGCCAGCCCTGTGTGACAGTGGTATTCATTGCCATTCTCCGCAGTCTCTGGAGAGCCCTTCCAGTCACTCTGAGCCTGAAGATGTCATCGATTTAGTGCAGCCAAGACCTGCAGCTGGGGACATGGAGTGCCTTCCAGCAGTGCCCCAGGGAACAGGTAAGGGGTGAAGTACAGGTCCCTGGACCTTTGGTTCAGATTGCTGGTGTTTAGGTTCCCAGATCCCAGCGGTGTTTGCCAACGCAGCGGCTCCTGCAGCTCATCTGCTTCCATAGGGAGAAACCGCCTCTTGGTAGTCAGGTGTCTGACCTGGGAAATTCCAAAAGGACTGGAATGAAAAATGAAACTGGTTGAGCATATAAAGATTTTATTTATTTATTTGTGTGTGTGTGTGTGTGTGTGTGTATGTGTGTACACACATAAATGCACATACACATATGGAAAGAAAGAAAATTGAAGTAGCTTCCAGGTAACGATTCTGTCTTACAAAGAAAATATACACGGTACTGATCTTTTAGTGCAAGATTTTATTCCATTCTGTCACACACTTTCCAAGGTGGGAATATTTGAACTGAAAAATTCAACTGGCTCAGGAAGACAGAAAAAGATCAGAGTAGACTCCGGGTCAGCGTCTAGTTTGTACATTTTCCTTGACTCAAAGTGGCACCAGGGAAGAGGTGTGCTTTTGTCCGTTGAGACTTCTGATGGCACTGGAGTGAAAGGGACGTAGAGAAAGAGAAAGGCCTTCCTTTTTCTTTTCTTTTTTTTTTTCCCCCTGGATTGAAAAGGATATTGAAAATAAATGTGGGCAGGGAGGAACTAAGAGAGGAGTACTTCTGCCCCAGTAACTAGGAAATACTGCTACTCGTCACAAGCCTCTAGAAATGGGTGCATTTTTTTTTTTTAAGCAAGGGTGTGTGTTACTCAGAGTTTCACCTGCCACAGTTACAGATTCCCCATAAAAGTAGAGCTTGGTTTGCAGCCATCTCTTCAGGGAAGAGACAATATGAATCTCACATTTTATTACACTGCTGCTTTGCAGGATAGTTCCTAAAAGTAATATGAACCTGCTGATCCCTTGAAAATACCAGCTCACATAATTGTGCCAAAGAAAACACTTTTAGAAAATATGCTCCACACGCCCACCAGTTCTCTCACATGATATTTCATGGCAATTTTAGGTGCCTCTTCTGTGGCGGGTCTTGTGTGAGATTTTGAAGATAAAGATAAAAAGAGAAGCTCCCAGTTTTGTAGCCACAGGCGATGCAGAGAAGTGCTGTGGTCTGTGGGGCAGGCTAGCCAGGTGTCACCTGGAGTCACCAGGAGGTATTTCTGTGCCTCAGAAGAAAGGGGCGCTTCCTCTAGAAAGACCTGTTGGGGGGTTGGTGTGCCACACAACTGTCCAACCTCCGTGTCCCGTTTGTGAAGTCCCCTGAGTAGGCAGCCATTTGCCTCCTGTCCCTTGCCTCAAGGTGGTGGCCTCAGAGGCTTTTCAGGCTGCTTTCCGGGCTGGCTGGTTCTTCCACTGTCGTAGCCTGTACATTCTCAGCATGTGGTCACCAGTCCAGGGCCAAGGACAGGAGTTCCACCACAGGAGGCTCTGAGGAAGTTGGTGAGTCCCTTCAGGAGACTCAGATTTGGGCAACAGGAATGCCTGTGTTTATGTTCACATTAGGTGGAAGCTTATGAGGTTTCTCCCTCACTTTTCAGGGACTGGACCTGGGAAGGAGCACATTGCTGTCCTCGAAGGCAGGAAACAAGACACTGAGAATTCCCAAGCACCAGAGCCCATAGATCCCGAAGCCCTTCCTCTGCCACCTTCCCTGCCTGGCACCCCAGCCCCAGCCTACCCTAGGAGGGAGCTGCCCTCCCCTTCTCCTCCAGCAGAGCACCCAAAGCTACCCCGCTCAGTCCCTACTCCGCTTGTGATTGCTCAGAAAATCTCCGAGAAGTTGGCAGGAAATGAAGCCCTCTCCCCCACATCCCCTTCGAAGGAGGGCAGGCCTGGAGAGTGGCGGACACTGACTTCTTTAGCCTCTCGAAATGGAGACCAGTTCCCCTGGCACCGACACTCGGCACAGCCTGCACCCAAGATTCACCGCTTCCCCAGCAACATCAGCGTGACCAACAGCTCTGGGAAGGACTTCAACAAGACCATCTCCAAAGCAGCCGTCAACGTGCAGGAGCGCAAAGCCCAGGTCCTGGCCAACATCAACGGCGTCTCTTTCCTCACCTCTGGCGATACAGAAGACCGGTCACCGAAGAGTGATCTCACAGAGAAGAGGAGTGTCCCTGCAGATCAGGGGACGCCCTCCTGGAGCAAGCCAGGACTGGCCAAGGAAGCTGAAGAGCCGCGAGCAGGCGGGCAGGCCAGTGGTGGTCAGCAGTCCAGAGGTGTGCAGACAGAGCAGCCCCCAGTGCTGGCCAACGGCTTCCAGAGCATCCATGAGGTGCTGCGGAGCGAGTCCAGTCCCTTCGTGTCTACTGGAAAGACTGTCACCTTCCGTCCAGACCCCACTCTTGCCAGCAAGCTCGCGCGCCAGAATGCCAGCAGGAGCTTCTGTGAGCCCCGGCCACCAGACTGTGGCCAGGACGCCAGGAAGCGGGCAGGCTCTCTCCCCAGAGCAGTGGGGTTCAGGCCTCAGGGCATCACTGTGCAGTTCTCTGGCCGGGGCTCCACAGAGGAAGCTCGGCGGGAGGCCCTGCGCAAGCTCGGGCTACTGAAGGAGAACTTGTGATGGAGACTAGCCCAGGAATACCAAAGGCCCCCTGCTCATCCGTCAGCAGGATGGCTAAGACACCTGTTTATTCCCCTCCCTGAAAAGGGGATGAAATGAAACAGTGACAGGGGCCCTATGGTCCTGCAAATTCAAGACCTGGTTGGCCTGAAATGCACATGTGAAGAGCAGGACCTGGGGACCCAGAAGCTGTGGCCCTATGAGGAGGGGAGCCAGAGACGCTGGGCCTGGGAAGTCCCGCAGGGGAGCAGGGAATTCTGCGAGAGCCTGCACCCATATCTTTTCACCTTCCTTTTCCTAAGATCTCAGAGAATAAACTTTTAAGTCTTGTTGGCTTCCATGATTTGTAAATGCCATATGTTTTTAAAATTGGGAGGAGGGGAATTGGCCTGAGTATCACAGCTAGCCTAAGAGGACATGAAAGCCAGTTTAGATCTCATCCTCAGGATTTTCACCTCCTCTTCTAAGAAAATTAAGAAGAAATGCTTGTTAACTTTTTCATAGTTTCATAATATACTTTTTTTGTCCCTTTGTTTAGTTCTAAAGGATGAAAGATGAAACATCACCTGGGTATATTTTTGTTTCTGGGTCCACTTGGTTTTCCCAGTATGATTCACTATCATTTTGAGGTGTGAGAGTCAAATAGGTAGATTTTGGAAAGGATGGTGATTTTGTGTTCCTGGGACATACACGGTATGAGTCTGTGTTGTGTGTATATGTGTACATACTATATGTTGACATATAATAGGCATTGTGTGTATATACATGCACATTTGTTAGTCCGTAAATATAAACTTCTGAAAACCCTGCTACGTAGCGACCAGCACTTCTCCTGATGGACACAGCCCCCTCAGCATTACCATGGATGACACAAGAAATCTTTACTTCCTAATATGGAAGTCTTCTAAGGACATGTGTCCATGATATTTTGGTGAACTAAAAGTACTTTTTCCTCAACGGTGTGTTGTTCTGTTCCCAATTAAGGTAATGTTTCCTGCTTCCAAAGAAGCAAGATGGTTCCTATTTTAATAAAGAACATTTTAAAAATATTAATCTTATTTATCAACCAATTCTAGTTTTGAGTGCTCCACAGTAAATAGGAAACAGAAGATTCTGAAAGCTTCCCGATTGAACATGTTCCATGAGCAACATCACAGGATGCATTTAAAAGGGAAAAAACCGGGAACTAGGTTAGGCAGCGTGAAAAGAACTGTTTTTCTCCCAGGCCACACCGGGTTGTAGCCACGAGCATTATCATCCAGACTATTTAAGGCCAGAGTCTGAAACCTCTAAAAATAGACAGGCCTGCACAGTCACACCCTGGTGTGTCCCCACCAGCTCTCTCACAGAGCCCATTTCTTTCCTGCTGAATATTACTGAGATCCAGGCTTGACACGTGCCCAGAGGGTGTGTTCCTGGTATTCCACTCTGGTCTTGGAAGTTACATTAAACAAATGATGATGGTTTTTTCCTTAGAACCTCAGTACTTAGCATTTTGTTCAGCTCTTATCCTGATGAAATAATCTCATAAATTCTAGATCTTGATTTAAATAGATGTGTTAATCATAGAGCTTTTAAAAGTGCTAATTTTAATTTTACTCCTGTTTATGTTGTCTTCGTTTAGAGGATTCGTGAGAATTTCCTTTTTACAAAGTGAGATGCCATACGATGTTCATAACCGAGAGTCTTGACACAGCTAATGTTTTTAAAATCCTTTAAATATGAGGATTTTTTTCTTTTTATCTTGTCCTATGATTTTGTTGTGAGCAAGGTAAACTTGACTGTATATTAGTATATTTGTTTGCATAATGACATTTTTGAAAAATAAATTTAATTTTATCTTACATATAAGCAACTTTTTAAAATATTACATACTATATTCCCAATGATTTTCTTTTAAATGATTGTTTTCCTTCTATTCATGTTTTTATTTTTTCATAATTATACTGTTACTGTACCTACTTCTCGTGCCCAGAACCCTAGTGACTAATGCTCTAAGTTTTGTAAGAGGTTCAAAGGACAGCTGCTAATGGCCTACCTGTATTATATATATCATATTAACAAAAAGTCTCGTTTGCTGAGGGGCGTTAGTTTCCTTGCCATAGCTACATGATGTGACATTCTTAAAGCCATTCTGTTCAAGGTAATTTGAAGGACCATATTTCAAAGCCAGATTGTAATGAAAAGGAAAGATGAATCCAAAGTGCCCAGTTTCTTTTCAAGTAATGCTTGCAAATGAGTCTCCACTTTATGAAATTCTTTCTTGGTACGTAAAAATCAAGCAAAAAAATAGCCTTTGCTTTTAGGAGCATGTATACAGATGCCCAAACTAGAGTCTCTTCTGTAAATAGTACTTCCTTGCAGTTACCAGAATAAGGGGATTTGCTCCAGTTCTTACGTCCTCCTTCTCTGGTATTTGGTTCCTAAAGTTCATACTTATCTTCACAAAACTGGCAGGAAGTTTGATCTTTGCTTTTTTCTCTCCTTCCCTGAGCTCATGTTCTCCTGTGAAGCTGGTTGAGGAAGAAAGGCCCAGGGGAGAGGTGGTTTCTGGGATGCTAACACTCAGGAATTTTGAAGCACTGTTGTCTGGTGTTTAACAGTAGAGCCCTCTGCTTCAGGCATCTTGACCTGATGCAGATTCATCTGGTGGGAGGCTCATGTCCAGGGCTCAGAGCCTAAGCTGGCTTCCTCCTCCCTCCCCTTTTCAGGCTTCACAGCGGGCTCTTGACTGCTGGGGAGTCTCCACTCAACTCCTGGTGGGTAGCTCCCACTGTAGGACCCTGATGGAGTTGATAAATAGGCCTATGGAATCCTTAGCATTGACATTTTTAAGAAAATGAGAAATCCTTTTTTAAAATCCCATGGCTCTGGTGGTGAGGATCCAACCTTTCAGAGGACTCAGTGGTGATGTAAGAAGTCAGTTCTTTAATGTTTATTAAAGAGGAAGAGAGAGAACTCAGATAAATCTGACAACAGTTTACTCTTATCAAAAAATGTGTGACTGCTTTGTTAATGTTTTCTTGGTGGCACCTGACAACAAAGGCACTGTTTGGGTATTTTATCACTGTGACATGGCACGAGGAATAAACATTTTTTTGCCTCTGACCTGCTCCTCTGGGTTCTTAAACTTCTGTCAGCCAGTTATGGTGTCCTCTGGATGAATCTCAGCAGCCTTGTTTCTCTTGTCCTCACCTCGGTCCCCAGCCAGGGCTGCTGGATGGCAGGAGGAAGGGGCGGAGTCGAGGGGAATGTTCACCTGTGAGCAGTTCAGGTTCTCACTGAAATGACAAGTTACCAAACAGGTTTTGTCTTCTCTTCACAACAAGGCTTTTTTTCCCTGCTTTAAAGTATGGGGAACAAATCCCCATATCCTTCTAATCTACTAGTTGGACAAGCCCTGCTTTCAGACATCTGAGAAAGGAAGACAGCAAAACTGCCACAACATGAAAAAATCGGAACTCTTTGTAACTGAATTTGAAAAGAGGCAGCCGGGAGCCCTGCGCAGCACCTGCCCTTCCACCTTCCCAAAAGTCCCCTCTAAAATCACCTGTTCTCTAAGCAGAAGAGTCCTGTTGGGTGGGACTCCCTCATCTGCAGAAGAGGCCTGAGGCCACCCCCACACTTTGCAGTCTAGAAACAGTCCTTGTGTGTGTGACAGTTGAAGTTCTTCTAAAAGGTCCCTGTATTTAGAAAAATGACAAAACCGCCTTACACATTCCCAGTTCATAAGAAGTGCCAATCGCTCTGGTCACAGCAGGCTTCACTCTCCCTCATGGTGAGTGTCCTGGCAGGGCTGGAAAGGGTTTCCTTTAGCCACCTTCTTATCTCCTGTTTAACACCAGCTGAAAGCAGGGACACGGTGACTTCCAATAAGGACCAAGAAACCTATGTGGCCCATGTGGTGTCCCCAGCCTACAGCAGGAAGCAGTGTCCCCTTAGTGCTGTCCTGCCCCCTCATATATCTGCCCTGGGATCTACCAGGCCTTTGTACTTTGGGGATCTACAACCAGGTGGGTCAGAGGCCTCCTTGCTGCTTTGTGGGGTGAGGTTTATTTAGATTTTCCTGACTCCTGAGACAGCCTTAAAGGCCTGAAGCCAGCCCCTCCCACTGAACCTCACTGCTGAGGTTCATGAAGCACTTGGAAAGTGAAGCCCACTCAGATTGTAAAGGGCCTCGGGGCTTCTTTTCTGGGTGCCGGGGGCTCTGGGTCGTGAGCCAGCCAGTTTGTAGATTCAGGGTCTACGACCCCCCAGTCCCATGCTGGCTGTCAAGACAGTGGCTGTGACTGTCCCGCCCTAGCTGCCAATCAGGATTCACATTTGGAAGCTGAGGCTCATGGAACTTAGTCACTGGCACGTAGGTCACACTTCATAAACTTTAACCTCAGAGCATTTGTGTGTGAAGCAAAGCTGCCAAGTGTAGTGACCTAAATTCTGGAAATACCTTTCAGGGGTGGGGCTGGATAGACAAAGAATCCATGTGCCAGGCCGGCTCGAGTGCCTGAGTGTGATCAACCTCTTCAGAATGGCCTGTCTAACCACGGTCCTTGTGCCTCTGATTCTGTGTTGTCGTCACCTTGCTTCCTGCCTTTAGGGTGTCGCGACATGTGGCCAGGTCTGCCCTTGTCACTGAGAATGACTTCAGGTCTCTGGGACCTTTGTTCCATGACAAAGTCCTGCCAGAACTGACAGCCCTTGCAGCTGGCTGTGGCGCCAAGTGACAAGGGTCTCTTCAGCGTCCCATTAGTTCTCTTGTCCGACAGATGCCTGCTCCATGAAATCAGACTACCTTCCATTTTCTTGCCCATTTACTTAGTGTCAGAGCATCTGAATTTGGGGAAGAGGACCTCTGCCGTGTGAGGACAATTTTCAGAGTGAAAAGGTGGAAGGAAGAGCCCCCCGCCCCCCCCCACCCACACACACAGGCAGACGCCCTATCAGCCCAGGCACCCTGGCCTGGTCTTGCCTTCTAAACTCAGAGCTGAGGAGATACTTGACCATGGACTCCACATGTTGGTTAAAGTTTTTTATAAGGATTTTTACTTTTCAGTCCAATCTTAAAGGTTAAAAAAAATGTTTATCCTATAAAACATCTGGTGGAAGTGGAATGGTGAAAGGAAAAATATTGTTTTGAGCCAGGCACAGTGGCTCATGCTGATAATCCCAGCAGCTCAGGAGGCTGAGACAGGAGGATCATGATTTCAAAGCCAGCCTCAGCAATGGTGCTTAGCAACTCAGTGAGACCCTGTCTCTAAAATAAAGTACAGAATAGGGCTGGGGATGTGGCTCAGTGGTTGAGTGCCCCTGAGTTCCATCCCCAGTATCCTTTCAAAAAAAATTGCTTTGAAACTTTTTTTTAAGATAGGATTTCAACTACACTGCTGAAGTTGACCTTGAATTTGTGACCCTCCTGCCTCAGCCTCCTGAGTTACTGGGATTACAGGTCTGTCTACCACATCTGGTTTGACACTTGTTTTCTTCATTTTTGAAGTTTGGAGGTGAGCCAAGTGATACAGAGTATGACAACATCCTCTTGTTCATCCACATGTGGTGGATGGTGAGAGCAGCAACTGGCCATCATCTCCATTCCTGTGACCACCTGCCAGTGGGACTACATGGTGCTCACACTCACATGTTGCTTGTCTTCAAAAGGGCCTCCAGGGACCATTGCTTCCATCACACTGGTTGACTAGGCTGCAGACTCCCTGACTCCGGCCCCTTTGCTGATGCTGTCTAAGCTGAGCAGGGCCATTGCCTCCCAGCCTTCTCTACTACTGAGTGTGGAGGGGGCTGAGTCTCCTTGGTGTCATCAAGAAGAGGAAGGGTGCTTGCCACCTTGTTTCTCTTCTACAGAGCTCTTCTTGCCTCCCACCGTGTTACTTCCTTTTTCCCCCAGGGGTCCATCCCTGATGTGTAGTTGTTTCCACTATTAGGGATGAGGGACTGCTCTATAGGGATAAGAAAAGACAGATGGAGATTGTGACATTTTGAAGCCAGGAAAGAGCACTGCTGTGGGTGGAGTGGCATCTTTGAAGAGAAAAGGAGGCGGGTGTGTGCCAGGCCTGGGCAGGCCTGTGGCAGGGCCAGAGCTCCCTGAGCCCAGAGCCTGCAACCTCTTGCCGTGGGGGATCCAGTTCAAGGCAGGTCCTTTGGCTCCATCTTCCTCCCTCCCTCCCCTCAGGACTTGGTTCTGGAACCTGGAATTGCCAGTTTCCAACACCCCCGCATGCAGGGCTCCTACATACAACACAGCTACCCTGGGCTGGCCAGGGAGTGCCCAATCTGCTCCTTGGCAGTCCTTTGAAGTTGTGGCTGTTACTGGAAAGACAACCAGGCCTCCGTGGAAAGTCCACAGACCTGGCTCCAACCAAGTAGCCTGCCTCAGCCTGGGTCTCCACCCAGGGCAGCCTGGCTCTGGGAGGGAGCGAGATGAGGAGGTGTGTCATTTTAAGTTCCTAACAGCAGGTCCATTATGACACAACTGCTGTGTACACTGGCAGTGGCCCTCCTATCCTGTCATAAATAATTATAATTCTGCCAGTATTTGGAAGCCACACCGCTGACATTTTTACTCTATTCTGCTAGAATGGGTCTACTCTCGATGGAGCATCTACCTTGCCTTGAGAGGTTCAACTCGTGGTCCACAAATGTTATTAATGCTTAAATTAATTTCTGTAGATTCCTTCTAAGAATAATTAGCATCAGAGTTGATTTAGGTCATAATGGACAAAAAACCCCCACAATTTTTCCTTTTATATCAAAATGTTTTCTCAGCTCAATCATCTGTCTCATACTATCTTAACTTTGCTTTTTCTTTCTTTTTTTTTTTTTAGAGAGAGAGAGAGAATTTTAATATTTATTTATTTTTTATTTTTCGGCTGACACAACATCTTTGTTTGTATGTGGTGCTGAGGATCAAACCCGAGCCGCACACATGCCAGGTGAGCGCGCTACCGCTTGAGCCATATCCCCAGCCCCGACTTTGCTTTTTCTAAACATCAGATATCCCTGATTTATTTTGCACCTTAGAAAGCAACTCTACTGGATCTCAGATTCCACGTGGAAACCTGGAAGTTTCTGGGGAATAGAGAAGAGATGGCTGAAAAGATTCTGAACCTGGAAATGAATGCAGAGTATTGGTAAGGCTTAAAGGGCTGTTGTGCTCGATAATTCTGTGAGGTTACAAGGAGAGGGGTTTGAGTTTAATACAGAGAGTTACCTGGCATTTCAACTGCATGGACGGAGCTATGTGCATGAGCCTGAACTCCCACCATGGGAAGGCAGAGACCTGCTGTGCTCTGGGAAAGCAATTGTGCTCAGTGACTAGTCTGTGTGTGACCCTCCCAGTACTGCCATCTGCTGAGGTTTGCATAGAGCAGGCTCTGTCACATCCCTGCCTGTGATTGCCTTCTCTGAGGATCTTGCCTTCTCTGAGGCTCTCTTCCTTCACCTGAAAATGTGGGGTGAGCTGTGCTTACCTTTCAGGGTCCTGGTGAGGCCTAGATGGGGTTGCATATGTTGAGCACCTAGCAGGAGCCTGGCTCATACCTCCATCACCGCTTGGGATTTCCTGCAGTAGGAGGAGTGACAGCTCACTCTTGCATCCCCTGGAGGTCCCGTTGCTGCATGAAGCCAGTGGGTCCCGGCCTTCTGCTTAGAGACACAGAAAGCCGGATTTAGATTTCAGTTCCACCGCATGCTAAGCAACAGAGTTTGCCCACTTTCTAAAAATATGTGTCCAGGTTTATTTTCCTTCTCCAGGGTTCTGGCTTCCTGCTCAGAAACACAGCATCACAGGAAGCTGTCCATCTGAGCTCACACTTCCCCTTGCCTGTGGAGGACACAGCTCTTCCCAGAGCTAGTCTCTCCCTGCACCTCCCTCCCGGGCCTCCTCCTGAGGAGTTAGCACCACTCAGCCAGGCCCAACAAGAACACTGGGGGATTGTCCTGCCAAAGCCCCTGAGCCGCCTGAGGCTGACAGGAAGGAAGTGCTTGTCTGAGTTGCTGGGCTGGCAGGGTGCTGCCCCTGACGTGCCACCGTACACGGCACATTCTGTGCAGAGGGAGGCAAGTCTGGGGCTAAACGGAGGCTACTCTGACATCTTAGAGGTGTGCCCTCTTCAGCCAGAGTCTCCAAGATAGAAGGGATGACCCAGGCCCCACCATGGGGCAGAAGGCCCTTCAGAGCTGCAGTACCCTTCCTTCCTAGTGCCATCTGACCCTTCTTTGTCCCCAAATCACTCTTTCCCAGACCATCCTGTCCCAAGCCAGGGCTCTTTCCAGAAGGGAAAAGCAGACTCCACCATCCTAACTCCCAGAATGTCACCCTGGATTCTCCACAGCCTCTTCTAGTTAGACCCTCTCAGGCTTTCCTAGAACTCTATGCCACCTAGTGCTAAGAGAGGGCAGAGTCTCATAGGAAGACTGAACTCAGTTCCACCTCAGCTCTCCCTGGTCGTGTGTCTTACCCAGGTGAGTGACGTCAAAAGACTGAATGAGCACAGACATGTAAAACTTGTGACAACCGTAACACTCATGTAGTCTAGACAATGGTTCTCCATCTATAGTCCCTGCTGGCAGAGTAAACATCATGGGGGAGTTTGTTAGAGAAGCAAATGATCAGACTCACTCAGATCCAATGGGTTGAAGCCTCTGAAGGTGGGACTCAGGGATCTGGGTTTCCATAAGCCCTCCGTGGGATTCGGTCGCATGGGGCCAGCACACAGAAAGCAGAGCCCTCTTCTAAGGTGCACAGAAGGAGAACCACCCTCAGGTGCAGATCCTTGAGGTAGAAACCCTGCTACACTATCTTTGCACCCCCAGTACCTAATGGGGCATCTGGCTCATAGTAGGTGGCCAAAATAGTGAATAAGAATAGCTCAGAAGTCTTACAATAAGTATATGTTCCTCTCATAAATTTAGAAAGAAGATAATCTGGTTTGAGGGGGACAAAAGTCATATAAGAGGAAAGAGTAGACAGGGCCACTTTCTTTGTCCTGAGCATGTCAGGGAGATGATCAGTGGGGACCCTGGGCCAGACCAGAGCCAGCCCACACTTCCTGCATCCTTGTTGGTACATGACTTCTGGGTCTTCCTTGAGGGATCAACAGTGGTCAGCCTTTCATGGATTCATCCTACAGGTACTTGAGCACTTAATCTGTGCCGTCCTAGGGGCTGAGGACACAGCGGTGAGCAGGACATTCAGGTCCCACCCTTCCCAAGCCTGCATCAAGGCAAGAAGCCAGGTGGACCCACTGATTTTGAGAAGGTATGCTGCTGTGTGAAAGGGATAATACAGGGGCTACAGGACAGAAGTCAGAGAAGAGGGCTTAGTTGAGACTTGAAGACAAGCAGGAACCAAAGGAACGAAAAGGTGAGAGGGTGTGTTTGAGGCAAAAGGTACAACATGTGCAGACCCAGGGCAGGTCAGGAGGAAATGCTGGTTGGGAGAAAAGGGTGGGTGAGGGCTATCCATCTCCACAGGCACCAGCTAAAACAGTGAGCCAGGCAGGAGTCCCAGAGGGAGAAGCACAGGCCCTGCCTACAGAGATCCCACACTCCAACAGTCATTCAGCAAACACTTGGGCACCATTCTATACACCGGGAACACAGTGAAATCCGAGCAAAACAAAGCCAGAGCCTGCTCTGAAGCTCTTCCTGGTGATGCACCTAGACAACAAAGGCAAGAGTAACACTGCAGGGAGAGGGTAAGCACCGGTCATGGGTGGAACTCCTGACTGGGAGAGGACAGGTGGGGCTGAGGAAGTGGAGGCCAGGGTCACCACCAGGGAATCAGGAGTCAGGAATGCACCGACTCATTCCTCAAGTCACCCCACCACTCGGGGATCTGTGACTTCAGCCTTACGGATTTCAACGTCCTGGTTTGTAATCAAAGCCAGGGAGAATGGCCAGGCTTTCAGGGCAGGAGGCAACAAGAAGAAAATACTACGCCTATCCCACTGTACTACGAAGCGTCCGCCCCAGGCCTACTGTGCTGCCCGGAACAGCCTTGTGTCCGCCTCACCGTCCACACACAGCAAAGGTTAGTGGAGCCAGGCTGAAGCTTCTGCAGCTGAGAGCAGGGAGCTCAGTTTGTGTGGCTTGGCATTTGGGACCTAAGTCCTGTGCCCTAAAAACGTCACTTCCCAAGCTGGTTCTCTGTCTGTCCAAGTCCCAGATCTGGTCTAGATTAAGTACAGAGGGAAGCAGTAAATGACAGGGCCAGAGAGGTGCTTGTGGGCCAGGCTAATAACACTTAATGGGAGGCTGAATCCCAGCCACCAGCCACCCTGGCTGATCCTCTAATGACACATGTTGGTGGGTGGCCTCCCACCGGAGGAGGCTGCCTTTGGAGGCATGGCCAGGAATGGGCCCTGTGAGATATCCTCTCAAATGGGGCCTTAAACAAAACCCACCTTGGATTCAGACTTTATTCCTTTATTCAGACTTTATTCCGTATACTTTCTGAAAGTGTGTAGGAGGGAGGACTGGGAATCAAGATGGGCTGGATCATGGCCCAGGTTGCTTCCCATCTCTGGCTCCTCCTTGGACTAGCAGGATAGACCAGGCCACTCTGTGACCTGTGATCTCAGTGGCTTAAATAAATAAAAGTTTATTTTACTCAGGGCAGGCATCTCTTCTCCATCAGATGGCTTCACTAGCAAGAGCCCATGGCTAGAATGTCCCCCTAAATTCAAGTGTTGGAAACATCATCCCCAGTTCAATAGGGTTGGGAGGCAGGGCCTAATGGCAGGTGATGAGGTCACAGGGCTCCACCCTCACAAATGGATTAATGTCATATCATGACTGGTTTTGTTATGAAGACTTCAACCCCTTTTGCCTGATCTTACACATTCTTTTGCCATGTGACATTTCCACCATATTATGACACAGCAGGAAATGTAGCCCCTTGATCTTGGACTTCTCAGCATCTAAAACTGCAAGCTAAACAAACTCCTGTTGATTGTAGATTAACCAGGCTATGGTGTTCTGTTACAGTAGCACATAACAGACTAAGACATGGGGTCCCCAGTGTCCCTGAAGCAGGGAAGGAAGAATGGAGAGGGTCTTGTGAGCAATATTTGAAGGCCAGGCCTGAATGTGGCTGATATCTTTCTTACCACATATCACTGGACTGGACTCATCACACGGCCACATCCAACTGCAAGAGGACCAGGAAATCAGTCCCCTCTCCAGGAAGATGCTGTGTTATGGAGAATGGGTAGCATGCTTCCATTCATTTGTTCAGTTTGTGGAGAGGCATCTAATAAGTACCAGGCAACATGTTAAGTATTGGAGACATAGACTTCCCTGTCCTCAAGAAGTTGAGTAAGTGACACCCCAGAAGATATATCATCACAGTTCTCTAGAGGCTACCGTGGAGCAGCAAATAAAGGCCCCTAACCCAGCCTTGGACAGTGATAATGCTGGTATTTCCCAACTCTCTCTAGAAAAGCATTTATGTGTGTGTGTGTGTGTGTGTGTGTGTGTGTGTGTGTGTGTGTGTTTCTTACAAATTTTACTGATAGAAAGGATGTGGAGACACCATTTACAACACTCTACATTATAAATTCCATGTAGCTAAAACTGATTCTCACGGATTTGGTTCATTGCTTTTGGTCAAACTCTTATAGTCAGACATGATTTGACAAATGGACTTGCATAATTGGCTAACATTTTTCCTTTTAATTCATTGTCTGTAAATCTGATGTGTGATCTGCTGGTAAACTATTTCTCCTCTTCACACAAATTGTGTTTATTAAATGGAAACCTCATTTGGCTTGAGCATTATGTATCAGAACTTTACTCATTTATCAATGACATGAACAACTTCTTTGGTAAATCAGGTCATACTTTTCAAATGCTAGAAAAATATTTCCTCAATTTTTTAAAAATTTTTAATTATAGATGGACACAATGCCTTTATTTTGTTTATTTATTTATAATGTGGTGCTGAAGATTGAACCCAGTACCTCACACGTACTAGGCAAGTACTCTACCACTGCGCCACAACCCCAGCCCTCCTTGATTTGTTATTCACAAGATAATGGCTCAGGCATGGTATGCTTTGAAAGTTTAATCTGCATTACTAACATTTTCTTTCAAACATGACTTTCTGAAGTATAGGCCCATCAACAAAACAGTAAGTTCAGCCCTGATATACAGCATTTGCTAATTACAATAGTGTAACTGTTCCCACCAGGGCAAATCTTCCAACCTGAAAGCTTTGAACTCAGAGTTGGAAAGAGACTGCAGTAGTAAACCATATATGGTTTTCAGCTATACAGACAACATACTCATCATGTCAAGAGCACAGGAAATGATATAGTTGGGAAGTGATTACATAAATGTAGAGTATTTATTACCTTTGTCTTTAAATTATTTAATTGTAAGCTCAGATAATTTCATTTGGAAATGATAACTATATTTAACATCTGGCTTGTAAAGTTCCTAAAAATGTACCAGACTGCCCAGACAGGACAAGTTAGCAATAGCCTATCACCGGTGGACAGGTGAGAGAAGATGGGGGTTGGGGGTCTTCCTGATCCAAGCAAAAGGATTACACTGGAGTGAGTTATTCTGGAAAGAACATGAAACACAGTGCAGAACCAAGGGGTAGCACGAGCTAAGAAAATGGGGAGTATGACATTAGCTGGTGATTGTGTTTTCCTAGCTTGGCCACATAGCCTTGCTTGGCCAGGACAGTCCTAGTTTATGCCATTGTTCTAGAAACACCACACTTGGGGTATAAGTTATATGGATTCTTTATAACAGTTGAAGAGTCATGGCTCTCCAGATCCCCAGGACCTTGGCTGAAGAGGGAATGGAGCTGGGAAGGCTGGCTGGTCAGTAATGAGGCCATCGGAAGGGAGAGGACAAGGGTAGAGGAGGAAAGAAAGATGGTAGCATGCCTGGGAAGTTGGAATAAGGAGAGGCTGGCACAGGGGAAATGCTGTCCAGGGAGGAGCTGAGCTAGGCAGGTTAGCCTTCTCTTGGGGGACAAGGGAACCCACCTTCTCTGACAAGCTGATGGTGTCTGTTATTCATTTTTGGTCTCACAGAGCTGGATGGAAAGAAGAAAAAAAATACACCTTAAATGCAAGTGATTTGGTCCCCAGCTTTCGTTTTTCTTTTTTGGTACCAGGGATTGAACCCAGAGGCACTCAACCACTGAGCCACATCCCCAGCCCTTTTTATGTTTTATTTTGAGTCAGGGTCTCGCTAAGTTTCTTAGGGCCTTGCTAAATTGCTGAGGCTGACTTTAAACTCGCATTCCTCCTGCCTCAGCTTCCTGAGTCACTAGGATTAAAAGTGTGTACCACTGTGCATGACTTGGCCCCCAGCTTTCTGACACAGGGAAGAGAAAGGAAGGACTGGTGGCAGTAAGGGTCAAAATCCCTGACCTTGCCATCTCCTATAGGAGGCCTGGAGTTCCTAAGCCTCCAGTGCAGAGCCTCCCAGGTGAGTTTCCCCAGAGACTGGAGTCTGTGGCCAGTTCATGTCACCCTCCATCCCAGCCAGCAACTCTAAAGCTGATTCTGTACCAACCCTCCCAGCCTCATTTCCTGTCCATGGGGACAGGGCCAGGAGGCAGTTCAGAGCCAGGTCTCAGGCTTTTCACATCCTGCTGCCCACTTACAAACACATGCATGCAGTGGTCAAAGCTGGCCACTCCCTGGCAACTCAGCCCAGCAACATGACCCTGAAACCCAATGTTCTGAAACCTTCAATCTTGACTAGAAAAGCCAGAGAAGCCAGGAACATTCCTTGGTGTTACAGAACTGAGGAGACCAAGACTCTCCAGGGTGCTTGTCCTTTATGGCAGCACTTCATAAAGAGAAAGGGAAAGAGAAAACCTCTAAGTGCTATTTCAAGGACTTACTCTATGCATATCCATGTATCTGTCTGTGGGCCTATTTAAACCTCCCATCAACCCTGTGAAGTAGGTTCCACTGGAGGGCAGGTAAGCACCTCTGGAATCTGAGTGTCACCTCTGAGATCTGAACCCAGGCAGCCTCACTCTTAACCATGGCACTGTTTACCCCTGCCTTCCTCCAGGGGACCTTGTCCTTCCTTTCTCACCACTATGGGATACTCTGAGCCCAGGAATCCTGTCATATATGGGCAGGGCAGGCTCATGTGAAAAGCTCAAGCAATTTCGGGGGCCCTTCTTTAAGATAAAGACTACAAAACTGTGACTACCAAATGCCCTGATGTTGGATGTGGCCCATGCAAGTGAGGGGCCCTAAAATTTTGAGCTCTTTTAGTCTCTTGGTAAATGGACCTCGACTCCAGGTGACCTCTGGGACTATATTATACAGATACTCCATGATTATCAGTGCCAGGGCTTCCTGAGATGTTTCTTAGAATCTGTCTCCTGTGGAAAAAATAAACAATATTCCAGAAAGCTAAACTATCAGGGGGTCTAAGAGGAAGTCCAAAAATAGCACAGTCTCACAATCTGCTGCCTGCTGGGGTCCATGCTGGGTCTTGGTGCTCTGGATATCCTGAGGTGCAGGAATGATTCAGGCCGGAAGGCACTGGCAGCGCCTGCTTTTAGTAAACATGAATAACCAGGGGGAAGATATGGGAAATTTCCTGGCCAGTCCTGAAGCTGGGGGTAACATTCAAATTTAACCCAGAGTGGGTCCAGCATGGAGGCATAGGAGACACCATGGGCCCATTTCTTTCTTGGGTCCCCTCAGTGGTTTTGTTTTTCTAAGAAGCACATACAAGGTAACAGATGACCCCAACCAGAAAGCCCTGGTCCTGAGGGGATAGTCTAAGTGAGCTATTGCCACAGGCTGAATCTTGGGTTTCTAAGTTTCACAAACAACCAGCACCACTGTCTAGAATATTCAGTGCCTTTGGAAACCTTCGTAGGCTCCTCCCTTCCCTGCCAGAGTAGGCCACAGGCCACAGGGAGGGCTGGGCAAGGCGAGGCATCTGTCCAAAGAATGATGGAGACATGGCAAAAGAACACAGAAGCCAATTTGAGGGGCTGCCACTGACCAAACCTGGTATAATGTGAGCATAAAATAAATAACATAATGATAATAAATAGATTATAACCCATTACAGCCCATTAAATAAAATAGGAAATGGTGTGAGGCTAAACATATATTAATTATATTTGTTAGTTGCAGTCATATTAATTAATAATTACATGTATAATTAATTATTCAGTGTAATTACTTATTTGATGAATAAGGGGATACTTACACAGTTTCAAAGTACCTCCCCACAAAATACTTAACAATAAAACAGGGAAAATGACTTCATGGGGAGAAGCCTGGCAAGACTCTACCTTAATCGAGTATTGGAAATGACATCACAGGTGGAGCAGATGGACATCATGAGCACCTGGTAGGAAGCCCTAAAGCATCACTTCTATGCTGGTCCTTCCAGAGAGCAGAAACCTGCATCTAAGCATGAGGAAGCATCAGAAAACTCAGACGGAGGGGCATTCTGTAAACAACTGAGTCTGCAGTGCTCAAGTGTTAAAATTATGCAAGTCAATAAAAGATGAGGGAACTCTCCTAGATTGAAGGAGACTAAAGAGATGTGACAACTAAATGCAGTAGATACTGTTCTGGGGGGGGTGCTGGGATTGTGGCTCAGTGGTAGAGTGCTCACCTAGCACTCTACCACTCTAGGTTCTGGGTTTGATCCTCAGCCCCACATAAAAATAAATAAATAAATAAAAGTATCAGGCTGGGGTGTGGCTCAATGGTTGAGCGCTTACCTCACATGTATGAGATACTGGTTCAATCCTCAGCACCACCTAAAAAAATAAAGACATTGTGTCCATCTACATCTAAAATAAAATATTTAAAATAAAATAATGGTAATATGTCCAGCTACAACTAAAAAGAAATATTTAAAAAAATACTGGGGTTGGGGTTGTAGCTCAGTGGTAGAGTGCTTGCCTAGCATGCGTGAGGCACTGGGTTCAATCCCTGGCACCACATAAAAATGTACAAATAAATGTATTGTGTTTCCACGTATAACTAAAAAATATTAAAAAAAAATACTTACTGGGCTTGGGTTGGGGCTCAGTGGTAAAGTGCTTGCCTCACAGGCGTGAGGCCCTGGGTTCAATCCTCAGCACCACATTAAAAAAATATATATAAATAAAGATATTGTGTCCATCTATAACTAAAAAAAAATACTTACTGTTCTGGATCCTTCTGTTAATATGAAAGAAATTTCAAAGTTGCCAAATTGAAAATGGAGTCGATTATGTCAACCCTAACAACAACAAAGTAAATAAAGTCAGGCAGTTATAAAGGAAGGGTTCTTATGCACAGATACCTGATAGCAAGTGTCACAAAAGACCCTGACAGAGTTACAAGATTAAACCTTATACAAAAAGCACTTCTGCAAGGACATCTACCCAGCAATTGTC